GACAGATATTTCCCAGCTTGCTCATTTTGACATCTCAATAGGGCAGGTAATACCTCAGTAACCAAAGTGGAGGAGAGATCTCAAAGGACCCAGCAGGAGATACATGCCTTCTATAAAGCAGAACACTTTTACTAAGAAGAGTGATTCTAGTTCTAAAATACTGGCACTGACATTAACATAGTCATAGTCCCTTGTGGGTTTTTGACTGTAGATTTATCATGATGTGACTCACTGTGCATACTTTCACTTTTCCTTTTCATTCTATGACTTAAATAGAGATTGAACACCTAGAAATACAATACCTCGAAAAGTGTCGATTGACATTTTCACTTAGTATTTCCATGCTTTTATCAAAGCTTGAGTCTGAACAGCGAGGCATGTTCTTTCTCATCGATCTTAAACAGTGCCCATTGAAACATTCAATGTTGCCAGAGGAAAATTTCTAGGAAAAGAAGAAAGAACCACTTATTAATCTGAACGATTTATATTGCCTTTATTTGAGCAAGTTTAGTACACTCCTGATTCAAGAGAGTTGCAACTAACGGCAGGTTAGCCTCGAACCACTTCTGCACCAAGAAGTAGCTCTGATGAAAAAAAACACACCAGATTTCCAAGAAAAAAACAAAAATCCTTGATTTCAAACTTGGTTCAGTGACCCAGTAACCAAAATCTCACCTCTAACATGCAATTGTTCTACCTCTTTGAGAAGGGCCAGAAATTACACTATAAAAGGAGGGGTTGGGAGCAAAAAAAGCACCCCAAAACAACAGCCAACAAACAAGCAAAACAATAGAGAGAGAGGAAAGCACCTCTGCTTGCTTTGGATCAGCTGATGGACACTGTCACTCGTTGTCCCTGAAGGGACACCTTTAGGTGAGTTTTGTGTCTCCCAACTGTCTTGGAGCAGGCCTGGGAATATTTACTTATACATCTATTGCTAATGGATCTCTGTCACTATTCCTTCTGTAGCAGCACATATTAATACTCTGAGCTGATAAATGTATCACCAGCAATTCAGAATCTGCTTTCCTGTTGCTTCAATTACCTGCACTATTTGTGAATCTAGATCCTGTAAGTTCCTATTGAACTTGGCCAGGCTGATAGTGTCCAGTGGGCTAAAATCAGAACTTAGGCCCAGCTGCACCCAGCTCCTCTGATCTCTGAGGAGCAGCTGGAACCCAAGGGGGTTCATTTTCTGCTAGATTTCTATATCTTTAATGCAACAGAAAGCTTCCTAGTACTGGGATTGAAATATTTTTAGAAGATTTCCCCGTCTCTGTTCCATTTATATTGGCATTCAGAGGGATCTAAAAACACTTCCTTCCAGAGGGTAGCATTTATCCACAGAAAGCCAAAGGGAACTCAAGATACAGTTCTTCATGGATGTTCACCTTGTTCACATTGGTGTTTCTGCAAGGAGGATGCTACTGACTTTTACTGCGTGCACAAAGCTGTGATGACCATGGGAAGCAGCTTGTTCCATTCACAACCCAAGGTCTCTCTAGAAGACTGCCAAACTAAATCTCACACTGAAAGGGGCAGAAAACAGACCATATTGTTCTACTTCTTCACACTAAAGTTACTAAGAAGTAATTCCACTGATTGATGGACAAGTGAAGAAGGACCAAAACTATGTCAAGAGGTTACGCAGGAAGAAAACTACAAGGGCCACAGCCCAAACAGAATTTAATCTGATTACTGCTGTAGAAGACGACAAAAACATTTTTAAAAATACATCAGCAAGAAAAGGAAGACAAAAGAGAATCTCCATCCTTCACTTGATGCACAGGAAAGCACATGACAACGGATGAGGAAAAGGCAGAAATACTTTGCCTCAGGCTTTACCAATAAGACCAGCAGTCCTCATGGTACCCAGACAGGGACAGAGAACAGAAGCCCCCATAATCCAGGACGGAACAGTCAGTGACCTGCAACATCACTCCAAGATTGAGTCCAACCTTTGAATGATGACCACCTTGTGAACAAAACCACAGCACTAACTGTCACATCTTATTTCTTGAACGCTTCCAAGGGTCGTGACTCCACACTTCCCTGCACAGCCTGTTCCAAGACTTAACCATCCTTCTTGTGAAAAATTTCTTCCTGATGCCCAACTTGAATCTTCCCTGGCGCAGCCACAGGCTGTGTTCTCTTGTCCTGTCACAGGTTACCCGAGAGGCTGATCACCTACAACCTCCTTTCAGGTAGTTGTAGAGGGTAATAAGGTCTTCCCTGAATTTCCTTTACTCCAGGTTGAACACCCCCATCTCTTTCATCTGCTCCTCATATGACTTACTTTCTAGACCTTTTCCCAACTCTATTGTCTTTCTCAGGATGCATTTCAACACCTCAGTGTCTTTCTTGTAAGGAGAGGCCAGAACCAGACACAGGATTCAAGGTGTGGCCTCACCACTGTTGAGCACAGCAACCACTGCCCTGGTCCTGCTGGCCACACTTCCGATACAGGTCGGAATGCCCAGACAAAAAGGGAACCCTGGAGCACACTACCCTCAAATACAGGTCACAAGAACAAACTTGTTCAGCTTGGGAATTACAGCAGAGTTATAGACCTGGAGATACATGGCTTCCAAAGGGATAGCAGCCACTTTGGATCTCACTGGGAGACTCACTCATGAAACTTACTGGGACTGGAAACCTGGAAGAGAATAAACTCAGCAGATATTGGTTTACCTTAGATCTGTTGTACGCTTCTTACTGTCTATGGATTAAATGAGCTGTATAACTAAAGATAAACCATATGCTGATATCAGGAAAAAAAAAAAAAAGCAAAAGCTGCCACCACCAAGTCCCTGCACATCAACAAGACAGGAAAGAGGCATCAGGACTTAAACATGAAGCCAGCACCAGTTCTCATGACCTCTGTCAGATGGAGTACTTCTACATTATGTCTGCAGTTAAAATCCCCAGCAGAGCCCAGCATTCTACAAATGAGGTAATGATTTCATGCTCAAAGCATAGGAAAGGTCTACAAAAAAGAAGGGGAAAAAAAACCCAATAAAACAAACAAACCCAAGAACAACCTTACAATCAGTTTCGTAACAATGATTCTGCTTTGGTTTCAGGGATGACTTTACATTTAGCTTCCTCATTCCTGTTTTCCACATTGAGAACACATGCCAGCAGTGTTATCTGCCTAATGCTGCACAGGCTGCAAAGGCTGAAGAAGCCCCCGACAACCATTTCTAGTGCAGACTGCAAAAAACAAAGCAGTGATCTTTAAGCAGATCTCATGACTCTTTGTAAGGGGGGGAAAAAACACCCACCACCACTAGGACTTTTTCCTTCTTAGTTCAGTAGTCTTGAATATAATGCCAAAAAATATAAAAATATAAAATTAATCCATACAACTGAGACTCCTGAAAGACTTCTGTTGGAAGGAAACAGAGTCCTTGAGAAGCATCACTCCAAGGCAGGGTTCTCCTGAAGGGCAGACCACTTCCGAGTTGGATCTGGTCTGCCTTTATTTGTCACAGAAATGCAGGACAGCATGCAGAGTAGAGCCTGACTTGGAAATAGGAGGGGAAAATTTTAGTTTTTTTGAAGGCTATGTTAAAAACAAAGGAAAGTGAAATGATTCAGTTATTACAGTTGCAGTGCTGAGATGCAGAGAGCACAGGCCACTCGATAGCTATCCTTTACCACCATGAAAGTTGTCGGTCTCTCTTCCAGTAGGGTAGATCAAGATTATAGAAAACTTAAGTAATATTTTCACCGGTTTGGGTTATGCACTTCAATTAAGTACAAATGAGCCCTGACTTCTAAACAGTTCATTTTTTAGAGCACCCAGAGTACTACTTGGATACATTTGACTGTGTTTAACAGGCCCTTCTGGGCCAACCAGAACGCACTCAGAGGTCCCATACATTTCGCGTTACGCCGTTTTTGATGCATTTCTGTCACCTAAACAGGGAGCACTCTATAAGCATTACTGCAACTAAATCAGAGAGGTTTCTTAGATCTTTTCAAGGTAAGTTTTTCAGATAAGGAACCGAACCAAAATAAACGGGGATGGGGAATGACATACGATACACCAAACCATGAGGCGATGCAGGTTTGTATTCCCAGAGACCGGCTCTCAGCAAGCTGCCACAGCTCCCGGATCAGAGCTTGTGCCGAGGCCCCTTCAGCTGCGGGGCGGGCCGGCTGCTTCTTCACACACCCCCAACCGCAGGCCCTGTCCCAAACACCCGGTTCTCCCCTCTTTTTCTCCTCCACGGAACACCACTCCCCAGCGCATTCTCAGCTCCTCCCAGCAGCTCCCGGCCAGCACCGGCTCCCCCGCGCCGCCTCTCGGGCCCATAGCCCAGCGCTGCCCGCCAGGCCGTGCTCACCCCACCCCCACCCGGCACTCACGGCCTCCTCGGCCCTCCTGGTCCCCCTGGATCCCGCGGCCCTAGCGGACCCGGAGCGCGTCCATACGCGGTGACTCCTGAGCACGGGGGGCTCCAGGGAGATGAACTCGGAGCTGGAGTCCAGGAGGTCGAAGGGTGGCCGCCGACAGCGGCTGTCGCGGGCAGCCATGCGGGGCGGGCGACTCGCGCTGCTCCGCAGGACCACCATGGCGAGGGGGGACCCAGACCCGGACCCGAGCCCGCCCGGCCGCGCGCCGCCCGGATCCCTCCGCCGCGCGCCCTCCCGCTCCGCTCTTCCCTGCGGCCGCTACTCCCGGCGCGCGCGGCGGAAGGACACGCGGCGCACTGCAGCTTGCCGCGCCGCACACGTTTGGCGCCGAAAACTCGGAGCGCTGCGCCAGGCGGCGCGGAGCGGGGCGGGGCTGGCTCGGCGGCTCCGCCTCATCCCGTCCCGTCCAGTCGAGTCCCGCCCCGCCCGAGGGGTCCCCGCAGCTCTGGCCAAAACTCTGGCCGTACCCGCGAAGTGCCTGCGCCGGGATGGCCGCGGTTTCCTCGGGGACGGCGTAGCGGCTGCCCCCGCCGGGCCTAGCGCTTCCTGCGCTGCCCTCACCCCCGCTCAGCCCGGCCATGGCGCGGCCCGAGGCCGGTTATGAGGCGGCGGTGCCGCCCCGCCCCGCCTGCACCTACACCAGCTGCTACTGGTAAGGGGAGCTACAGGGACAGGTGGGCGCTCCTCACAGCACCGTAAGGCGCCGGGACAGCCGAGCCACCGGCGGGAACGGCGCGGCTGAGGGCTGGGCACATTCCTGGGCTCGTGTCTCGTCGCGAGAAATGAAGTTGGAGGAAAACAAAATTAATAATCTATTTTGTGTTTTTCAGCGAAGAAAATATTTGGAAGCTTTGTGACTACATCAGGAGTCAGGATCGGTACCCTTTAGAAGAATTTTATGTTGTTTTCATATCCAATGATAGGAGGATGGTGAGTCGATGGGATGTGATCAGAGTCGGCTATGGAAACGCTCGGCCTTCAGCCCGGTGTAGGTGGGATGTGGTCCGAGCGATATCGACCACAGCCCAGTGTTGGGGAGTGAGCCTTTAGCCTAGCCTGTAGGCGAGATACAGTCCAAACCAGTCTTGTAGCTCGCTTTGGCTCAGAAGTGTGCCAGCCACATGTGAAATCTTTTAATTATGCACTGCATTCAGTGAAATGAGGCATGGTGTCCCTGTGAGCTGTGGGAGTAATTCTGTCTGTAATCTGCCAATTTAGGAGAATAGTTATCTTTATAAAATCATAGAACCATTAACAGTCATAAGGTTGGAGAAGACCTCTAGGACCATCAAATCCAACTGTTAACCCAGCACCACTATGTTCATCACTAAACCATATCCCCAAGTGTTTTGGATATTTCCAGGGATGGTGATTCCATCGCTTCTCTGCACAGATTTTCTAATATGGCCTAGAATAGTATCTCCAATTTCATGCTCCTGAGAGAAAAACTAGAAGAAATTTTCTTACAGCAGCACACATGTAAGCTGAGGAAGTTGATCGATTAGCAAAGAACTGACCAATTCACCTGAAATGAATCGCTATTAATCTGAAAGATTTTATTCACTTCAGGTTCATTTATAACTTTCAGGTTCCACTCTGGAAGCAGAAATCTGGACATGGAGATGAGCCTATTGTCTGGGTAAGGCATTCATTACTCTCAATAATTTTGAGTGTGTGCCTCTAGTTGATAGCTGCAGGATCACACATGGACATGTAACAAACTGTTCCATTTGAACATAAAGGAGCACTTTGTACTCTGATGGTGATGGAGCACTGGAGCAGGTTGCTCAGAGGGGTTGTAGAATCTCCGTCCTTGGAGATGTTTAGAAGCTATCATGCAGCTGGATGTCAGAGAGTCCCCTTGAGCAACAGGTTAGACCAGATTACCTCTTAAAGTCCCTTCCAACGTCACACATTGTATAGTTTTGCATTAATATTTATAACTCTTTTATGACAGATTCATAAATAGCCTAAATCTGATGCTCCTTTGCACCATCCCTCATAAATTAATAGCGAGACACTCAGTAAAACCTACAGGTGACGTGTCTTAATTGTAGTAAAAATGCATAATAGATTTGTGAAAATTTTTAATTGGGTATTGAGGCTGCCAGCCCTGTGGAATTGTAGGTAGATGATTGTACTTGTAAGAAGTAGATGGATGAAAATATTTACGTAGGCCTCTCAGATGACAGAAGAATATAAGCTATATATATTCAGATGTCAGCAGTTAAACTGACTCATAAACAGTGGCTTTGAAGTGTCATTTGATCAATTAATGTAGTTCAGTAATTGCTGATGCAGAATTCCTTGGTATCATTATAGAGTCCTTTCAGTTATCTGGCACAGAAAAAAACTATTTCTTATGGCCGTTTCTGTTTCTGAAATTCTGCCAAGTAATCTGCAAACTTCTGAAGTTTTCTGATTTCTGAATCATTCACTTTCTTCCAAAATATTGGTATCTTTACAGTACCAAAAAAAAAAGAAAAAAGGTTTGGTTTAAAAAGAGATCCAAGTGTTACAGAGATGACCTAAAAGGGAATAGCAGAGTCAGGAAAGGCCATGACAGAATGTGGATTTCTTGTAAAAATTCATGGATTAAAAGGTCTTTTAACTTTCACATTTCAGTGGATCATAGGTTGTGTAAAGCTTGTAAGCTAATTTTTCTTATACTCTCTAATAGGTCTTTCTAAATACTGTTGAATATAGTTGTGTATGTATATTGGTCGGGTGAAATAGATGGCACAAATCTTTTTCATTCAAATGTCTATGTGGTTTTAATATTGAAAATGTCAAAAGACAGTGCTCAACCTTTTTGTGAGTGGATTCAATGTAAATTTAAGTAAGTTGTTAAGGGCTATCTTCAATTTAATTTTGGAAAACAGCAGTATACATACCTGACACCTAATGTCAGCAGTGTCCCCAAACCTCCACCCGTGTTTCTTACAAGTTAAGGAGTAAAACTGCACTGCATAACCTAAGTGTCTTGATAAAATAGTTACCTTGAAAAGGTACGCACAGATATTTTTCCCAGCTTCAAGAGCTGCTACAGGAAATTATCTTATTCCTGTGGTCCTCCTGATCTGAGCTGTTCGCTGGTTTTTCAGTGGTGTGCTGGTTTTTCAGGTGCTTCTGGCAGCTGAACAGTCGGCGCTCAAATTCACAGGCCGTGTTACTGCAACAGGTACAGAGTCTCTTATTAGAAGAGATCACTAGGTAACTTTAGTGTTAACCTATCACTTTATCTTGTGAGTTTATTTATGACCGAGTCTAATAAAAAAGTGCTTAACCAAACAACTTTTGTGGTTTGGTGTGGAACATGAGAGAGATTTTCTGTTTTCTTAGGAGTAGTGTACACTTTTGCTGTCTTGGCTTAAATCAAAGGAAGCTGCAAAGAAATGGGGAGAATAGCAAGGTTTCCGGAAGAGCAGATGGAAAGATAGACATTAGGAAATCTCTCCTGGTGCCAGAGATGTTACAGGCTTAATATTCAAGGACAGCAAGCAGACTTTAAAAAGTGGATCTGAACTTATGCTTCTAGGAATCTTTTTTATTCCTCTCTCTTTGCCAGTTCATTAATTGCTGTTTGACTAATGGCAATTACCCTTCTTCCCAGGACTACCACGTTATTCTACTTCATGTCTCCAGCGGGGAGCAGAACTTCATTTATGATCTTGACACAGTGTTGCCATTTCCCTGTCCTTTTGATGTGTACAGTGTGGAAGCCTTTAGGTTGGATGACAGCCTTCGTCCAGAGTTTCACAGGTGATGACGTGAAATATAAAGACTGTGGATGTTATTTCATGAAATCGAAGTTCTCTCTGTGTAAACCTCTCTCTGAGGTTTCTTTACCATACTCCAGTAAAATAAATGCACTATGTTACTTTTCTATAGTTCTTTACCTTAGTCATCAAAAACCCTTTTCTTTCCTACTGTAGCTTCATGTTAACAACTTGGCCCAACGTTCCTGGTTTTTGTATTTAATAACATTAATGCTCCTTGATGTGAGTAACGTGCTCTTATTCTGAGTGATTAGTGCAGTATTGTGTACATGTATCTTTTAATACAATTTTGCAATTTTTTTTAGAAAAATCAGAATGATTCGAGCAGATTTGTACTTGAAGACATTTGCTTCAGACAGATCTCATATGAAGGATGCAAATGGGAAATGGCAGAAACCTCCTCCTCCATACCCTTGCATTGAAACTGCAGGTGAGCTGCCAGAACTCCTTCTTCCTGCTTACAGTGCTGAATGAAGTAGTCCAGAATGCACATGGGAAATAAATAACTTATGTAACATTTGTCCAGCCAGCTTATTACTTCATACGGGAAAAAATAGGGCTAAAAAGCATTTGGTACTCTTTCTTGAACACGTAGTTTAACATGCCTTCTGGCATTTACTGGTATCAAACATTAATTACTGATATTCATAAACTGAGCAGAGAGCAAGAGGTAAGTAATACTGTTCTCTTGTTACAACAGGGAACCGAAGTAAACAGGCCAAATAACTTGCTTAGGGGTCACAAAGCTTTTCACACAGTGATTATACCACACTCTAGCACACAGATCCCATTCTGGCAAAGTAGTGTCGGCAGGAGGAAGTTTCCACGCTCTGTTCAGTGTGGTGGCTTTGCCTGCATGAAATGTTTGAGGTTTCTCTACCAGGTGAATGGACTCCAGGATGTTTTAAGTCACTGGCAAGTTGGTACGTTTTTCCCTAAGCCTTAACTCTTCTAAGTGATAGCCTAGCAAATAGCTTCTGGGCCAGGTGGAGAGAGAGGTGAAGACTTGTCATCTGTTCTGTAGAGCTGCTTAAAGAATTCTTATCACACACCACTTCAGCTTATTCTAATCGTGTTTTGCAAGGTGAGTAACATTTGTTATGTGTGTGTTTGTTCTCTCATTTTCTTCCAAGGAGAGCATGGTGATGTTTTGCTTTGAAAGAGTTTTCATGTTACTGTTCTGCATGTTGGGTTTTGTTGATTTTTAATAATGCAGTACTGCTATATGTTTTTGTTAGAGAAGACAGGGTCAAAGAAATATTTTCTGTCTTTAGGTCCAAGTGTTTTTAAGTTGCTGGGATATTAATTCTCAGTCTTTGCTTTGGCTTTTAAGGAAGCTTGGTGTTTCACGTGAGAGTAGAAATTAATTATGAGAGTGAGCAGGAACACAGATGTAGTCTTTGTTTTGAAGCTTTAGATGTTTTCTAGACAATCCAGGTTATGAAGCACCTTGAATTCCAACTCTTGGTTATTATTTCCAGCAGATTTTTATGCAAAGGTATTGTAGGGAGTGTAGGATTCCTGAATAACAGTGAAGGTTGTCTGTTAGCTGGAGTCTCATAGGTGCTGAAAGCTTTTTAGTCTGTGGAAGTCTTGTTGTTTTGGTAGCTGAGTGGAAGTGTGAGGAATATAATGAGGTTAGATAAGGAAAGCAAAAAATTCTATTCAAATCAGAAGAGTAAACCCCATTTCTTGTGGGTAGTAAGGTACATAATGGCTCAAACAGTTGCAAATGTGCACATGTATCTGTAGCTGGAGTAAATGACTCCATAGCTGCAAACCCAGTAACTCTCCCCTTGCCTGTTGTGTCTGGCTGAGCTTTACCTCCCTGGTGAGCCACAGCCGCAGGCCTCAGCCAGCCTCCAGATTGTCTCTGTGATGCTGGTAGATAGTGAAGGATATTTAGCTTTTACTTCCTCTTATGCTTTCATTCTTTGCTCTGTACCTTGCCACGCTGAATGAAATGTTCATAGGTCATCCAGTCCAACATCTGCCCAAAACAGGGATTTCTCAGGGCTGTGTCCAATCTGGTCTTGAACACCCCAGAGATGGTGATTCCACCACCTTTCTGGACAGTGTTCCAATGTTTGACCACTATCATGGTAAGTAAAAAATAAATAAAAAATCCTAGTATATAATCTGAATTTCTCATGTTCCAGCTTGCTTTTTTCATTTCTTGTCCTGTTGCCAGGCTCCTCCAAGAAGACTCTAGCTCCATTGTCCTACCTCTGATCAGGTAGATGTAGGCAGCAGTAATGTCTCCCCTTCATCTTCTCTCTTTAAGACTGAACAGACCCAGTTCTCTGAGCCTCTCCTTGATTAAATGTTGTCCTGCACCAAACAACTTGATTTTCTTCTTCTGGGTATGTCCATATTTTGGGGTTTTTTTTGTGCTGAGGAGCTCCAAATGGACACAGTATTGCAGCACTGTGCTGATGTACTCTGGTCTCCTGGTCAGTTGGCTGAAAGAAACTTATTACCCTGCACCCACTGAATGTGAAAAGTCATTCACTAGGGAGCTTCAAGGTCTGAGTCAGAACAGGACTAGATTGTCTCAGATCTAGGACGTCTAGTTCAAGTTGTTTTTCATTTAGTACTAGTTCCTCCAGGTTTATTTTTTGTCTTCCCTTTGTTCTCACTTGAGATACTTTATAATGATGTGTGATTCAGTGTGCACAGTGCTGTGAGTCTGCGAGGAGTCTGGGTCCAACTGCAATGTCTCAGCACAGTTTTATCAGGCATAAAGCTGCCTTAGTTTTAACTTGATGTAAGACTGGGTGGCAGGCCTTTTGTTATCGTAAAAGAGCCTGGGGTATTAATGTTCGTGTCCATGCCAAATTCCATTGCAGATAACTGTTTTCTCCCTGCCGTTTCACTTAGATAGAACATTCTGCTTTCCATGTTGATTTGTGTTTGCGTAAGATTAAATTACTTACATATTTCCTGTTAGAGGTGACTGCAATATAATGGCTGAACCAACCCCATATTGTTTTAATACAAATTTATTGGTGAGGCACATTTCTATCAGAGTGGGTTTCTTTTTTTTTTGCTTTCATTCAGAGTAGCCAAATTACTAAGCTTTTGAGAAGAGGCAAGGTTTTTATGTTCCTTCTGTTTCCTCTATGTCTTCTTTGATGTTTGTGGCAGTTTGACCCTACCTGGATGCCAGGTGCCCTGCAAAGCTGCTCAATAGCTCTTACTCACAACTGTAGAGAGGAGAGAAAATGCAATGAAAACTTAGGATGGGGAGAGATCACTCGCCGATTACTGTCATGGGCAAAACAGATTCAACTTAGGGAAATTAGTTGAATTTATTACCAATCAAAATCATAGCAGGATAATGAGGAGCAAAACAAATCCTGAACGCACCTTTCCTCCACGCCTCCCTCTTTACCAGTCTTAGCTTTATTCCCAATACTCTACCTCTTCCCTCAGTGAGGAATGACAGTTGCAGTCATCGCAGGTTGTTTCTACCACCGCTGCTCAGGGAGAGGAGTCCTTCCCTTGCTCCAGTGTGGGATTCCTCTTAGGCAGTTCTTCATGAACTTCTCCAATGTGTGTCCGTCCCATGGGGTGCAGATCTTCATGAACTGCTCCAGTGTGGCTCCCTTTCCACAGGGTGCAGTCCTTCAGGAACAGACTGCTCCTTCGTGGGTACACCACAGGGTCACAAGCCATGCCACCAAACCTGCTCCAGCGTGACTCCTTCCTCCTCAGGTGTGCAGGTCCCTGCCAGCAGCCTGGTCCAGCATGGGCTTCCCATAGGGGTCACAGCCTCTTTTCAGGCATCCACCTGATCCTTCCTGAGGCTCCTCTGTGGACTGCAGGGGCACAGCTGCCTCACCATGGTCTTCACCACAGGCTGCAGGGGAATACCTCTCTGGTGCCTGGAGCACCTCCTGCCCCTCATTCAGCACTGACCTTGGTGTCTGTGGGGTTGTTTCTCACACATATTCTCACTCCTCTCTGGCCACAATTATTTCTGTGCCATAGCTTTTTTAATTTCTTAAAGGAAGAGGTACTACAACAATCGCTGATGGGCTCAGCCTTTTGCCAGAGGTGGGTCCATCCCAGAGCTGGCTGGCACTGGCTCTGTTGGAGGAAGCTTCTAGAGAAGCCACCCCTACAACTCTCCCCTGCTACCAAAACCTTTTGGAATTGAATTGAACAGTCTGAACCATTAACAAATTAAGCATTTTTCTCCTACTAGTAACTCAAAGGGAATAAATCTTAAACTGTATTTGTCCTGTTCATGGGGTTGCAAAATAAATCATCAAAAATAAGCTTACATGGAGTCATAAATTCCAATCTATGCCTAAAAAAAATTGCAGATGGCACAAGGTGCTTTTTTAAAGCATTTTTCTAAAAGACAAACAACTCCAGTCCAACCAGTAAAACAGCAATAAAGAAGACCCCTCTCAGACTCCTCAGTATCTCCTTAGGACTCAACATGCTAAGCATTAGCCTCATGGAACTGGCTCTGCTCTAGCTGTTTCCCAGAGTTAGGCCTCTGTGGTTTTTACTGGCATTGCTCTGGCCTCTGTTCTGCTCTGCTGCCATGGATGCCAGGAGAGGCTGGCCAGCCTAGCTGGCTGCACAGTGCTTTCTCACCCTCAAAGCTGCTCTGTGAGAATAAACATACCTGAGCTGCAGCCCACTCTCCTTGTCCCACCTGTTTGCCAGTGATCTCCTGTTGAAAGAAAACAGGGTATTTTGTTTAAATAATAAAAACTAAGAATATGAGATTTGGTGAACAGATTAATTATTCTAGAGCTGATGAGCCCAACCTTGGGTTTTCTCTTAAATCTTCTTTCCACAAGTTAACGAGGTCTGATTTTGTTTAGGTTATGATTTGGGATGAGATCTCTTTACTGCAAGCCTGTATAAAATACAGCTTGCACAGTGCATTTCAAAATTATTCTGAACAGATGGTCATATGGCATATGTACAAGTGATAGCAGCAGCTCTAACACTGAAAAGCACTGGTTTGAATTTCAGTTTTCCCAAGGTGTTCAGTAGCACACTTGCTGGATTGATTTGTAAAAGCTTTTTGTTCTTTTTATTATTAATAAAATCCCTGGTAGCCAATAATGATGGGGTTTCACTTGGGTTGGTTATTTTTATTTTGAAGGGGTTGAGTAGGACAGCTGAGAAATTCTGGAAATGCTGTGTATCAAACATGTGTGTAACAGGAAATCTGTTAGACAGAGGCCCGGCAGATGTCTGCAGTTCCTTTCTGTGTCTCCGAAGTGGTGGCAGGATCCTAGTGAAAGTGAAAAGGCATTGACAAGGATACAAGTAGCTCCTATGCACTTCCTGGGAATCTTCTGCTGCTCTCATTTAAGAATAAAACTCCAGTCTGTCAAGTTAGGCCCTTCCTTCATAAGCTTTTGAGGAAGTAATGAATCAAGTCAGATATATACAATAAAGACACAACTAAGAAGTACTTAAATTCCCAGAGTCGCTTATTGAAATTACATCACTTGATGTAAAAGATAATTTAAAGTGGTGAGCTGTATTTTACATTGAGATCAACCAGGATGGTTTGCACAGTCAGTTGTATCTTAGCTATGGAAACAGCAGCCCCCAGCTGAGAGTGGGAAGAGTCCTTCTGACTTATCTCCCTGCTCAGACAAGGGAGGAGGATCTGAAGAGAACTGTAAACACCTACACAAGCCTGTGAAGAGTCCAACTTTCAAGTGCCCCCAATGTTTTAGGCATCAGCAGAACTGATCTTGGAGGCTTTGGTCCAGATTTCCTTGCTTCCAGAAGCTCTTGGGCAGCTGTCATTATGCTGAGTTAGTCCAAGGTCTGTGAGCCAAGCCAAGGCTTGGCTTAAATGCTGCTTTCTAACTACTGTTGGCAGAACCCACGAGTGTCATGGCTGACAATGCCTGAGATAGTGCATGGCCTTTTGTTTCACCCCTGCTGGGGGTAAAAGTGGGCAGACGATTTAAACAAAAATAAAGTTATGCAAGAATCCCAGAATGGGCCAGATAGGTCTCATTTGGAGGGGTGTGTGTCACAAAGTGAGTTTGGTCAAAGAGGAAGATGAGCTCCAAGCGTGCACAAATGCAAGCTAGTGTAACAGTCACAGCACCTGAGTAGGACTGCAAAAGTAATGTAAATCTTGAAATAACTGTGCTGCTGTTGGTCTTGTAAAAATGTAGAATACATGCTCCTTGCTTTTATGGAGAGATCATCTTGGTCACTAGCTGTAGCATCCAGATGTATCTTTTGTAAATGCTGATGTTTGTCATTGCTTCAGGAAGAGGACTTTGTGGTATTCTCGTGCATTTTTGCTGAGCTGTTTCCTAACGCTGTAAGGTCTAAGATGACATCCACGGCCTTCAGATAGAGCCCATGAGGAATGAGCAGCGTGGCGGGGCTGTTAGTGCACAAATGTAACGGGAGAGGTCTCACAAAGCTTTTTCCTACGGGCATCTCCCGTGCTGCTCCAGTGCCATCTACCGACATGTTCCTAGGCCATCACTCTTCAAAGGAATTGTCTTGTTTGCTTTGGTAATTTTGTTTTTCTGAAAAACGATTTTTCCTTTCATTACATTTCGCTTGTGGGTTGTGTTATGCTCTGCCACAATCCTTCTGAAGTTAGAGAATATTTCATTTCCTACAGGCATTGTGGTAGCAACTTCCAAGTTGTGAACAGCAGCTGTGTTTGTAACTACTGGAACAATTTCCTTTGGACTGCTTTACCATTCACAGAGCAGTTTTATGAATTATTTTACTATGCTCAATAGACATAAAGCAGAAGTTTATTTATGTAGTTATTTATTTAATCTTAAAGTATATGAAGAATCACATTGATTTTGAAAAAGCATCTGGGAGGAAAAGACAAGTTTGGAACTGGAAAACAGACTTAACAGTCTGCCAGCAGGCATGAGCTGTTATCCACTACTAATTTGTTCTTGAGCTATAGCAGCAAATTGCTCAGCTTGTGCTATTTTAAATTCCCACATAGGCAGAAATTGTCCCTGTTCTGTTAGATTCTTTTCAGCAGTAGGACCGTGCTTGGCTGGACATAAGGATTTTTCATATGCAGAGTTCAAACAGGTTAACAAGAAAAGATTTAGGGGCCAGACCTCAGAAGGGGTGAGAGCTGGGATTAGAGAAATCACAAAGCTGTGCTGTAGTGTAGATGTGGTGCAAACAGAGGCCTTCAGGGACTGAATTACGCCTGGGACTCCTGGGTCTGGGGTTCCTGAATATCATCTTCCTTTCCTTGCTCACACTGTCCATAATGGTAAGCCTAGTTACACAAGCATTTTGCAGCTGAAGCAAATTCCATCCTTTGAATTTTATAATCTATTCATTAGAGCCTCCTCTTGTTTGATTCTTAATCCTTAAATGCACGCATGAATCATCCGTGGTAAATACTTAATACAGTGGAAGAGCTGTTAACAGTAAATCTGTAAATTAAACCTGTAACAGTGGCTTTACCACTCTGTTCCTTAAACACATTCTCTGCCAGTTTTCTTTTAATGGGCATTCAGAAAGATTATTTGTGCACATCATCAGTGAAAACCTAACACGACAAGCCCACGGATGTTTGTCATCAGAACTGAACCTCTGATCAGCATGGTTCTGAGTCAGCAAAGCTTGTACCAGGCCAGCTCCAGAAAAAGGATGGTATAAGGCACCTAAACCCAAAACTGCACACCAGTGCTTTTCCAGTGAGCTCTCTGGGATCCATGAATGAGACAGCATGGTTTCTACCCCTCCTGCAGGGAACAGAGCAGGTTAAAATCCTAGCAAAGAGCAGTCATGGTTACTTTTCTCTTGAAACTGTGGCAGTTCAGCTTTTCCCTCGACTTCGTTCTGTCATTCAGGATTCACGAAAAATAAGTATTTGCCCCCAGCCTAGGTTTGTGCTTCTTCACCTGAGCATCCCTCTGGACTGGGGACTGGGTTAGGTCACACATCTCCCCTCTGCATATTCTGGCCCTGCAGTGGGCCCGTGTTCAGTGAGGACAAAGTTCAGGGCTGGAGGGAAAACAAATACTGTGATTTGGAGAGTAATAAACTGCAGGTTTGCCAAGGGGTTAATCACTTCTGAGAGACAGTAAGCAACCTGCAGTTTTGACTACTGCTGTGAGCCCATTCCTCTGTGGTCAGTGCAAAAGTTGACTCTGTTGACTTTGGTTCAGAATTTAAATGGATGAATAATATTTCCCCTGCTTTTGAGTCGCCCCATTTGTGTGAATGCAGGAGGACTGCCTTGCACTTCCCTGTGTTGGTTGTTATTTGCACTCCAATTCTCTGACCACTACTTGACCCTTCTAGGTTGTTGTTGTAGGGAAAAATCTTACCCACTCATGCTAGTTTCTAATGACTTACTGGATGCTTACTGATCCTGTAATGTGATTATTGCCATGGGCAGAGAGGAGAATCAGGGCAAAAGCAATGTTTCAGAGACTGGAAATAGATATTTCTGTACTACCATACAATTTGCAGAATCTTGCTGGAGTGAACTGAACTATTGAGGAGGGGTTTGAAATGTTTTCTTGAAAGGTATACCTATGCTACAGAACCTGCGTCAGGAACTTAAATATTTCCCTTTTCTGGTCTTTTTTTAGATTCCAAGATGAACTTGGATGATTTCATCAGTATGAATCCCAAAGTGGGATGGGGCTCAGTGTTCTCCCTTTCAGACTTTGTGCATCGATTTGGCAGTCAGACGGATTACAGGTATTCCTTGGAAGGACAGTAAAGTGAACAAAGTTCTTCTGGTTCTGAGTGGATGTGTTTTGTTTTGCTGCTCTTACACTTCATTTATGGTTTACACTTCTGTTCATGTAATGGGTATTTGGAAAAATAGAACACCCAGTCAGAAATATCATGAACTGAATAAAAATCTTTATTTTAATTATGTAAGAATGCACTTGGTTTTTAATGTCAAATCAAAGGCAGACGTGCCACCATAAGCATATCGCTTTTCCAGCTACTGTGCCCAAACTGAAAAGAGCTGCAAAAAAAGCTTTTGGAAAAATATGTAATTGTAGCAAGTGCCGAAAAATCAGATCAAATATTGCAGCCTAAATTGCTACATGTTGTCACATTTTAAAAGTGAGATATGGTTTTCTTCATGTTATGATTGCTGTCAATTATATATAAACAGACAGTGCATCTCAGTTTCTTCACTAGCTTTACTGATTATTCCTTATTTAGCAGAAGTGAAGGGAAAATTGATTTAGTAGTTCAGTTATGAACTCCCATGCACTGTGTAAATCCAGGTAAGTATCCAGGTTTCTGTGCTGTACAAGGGGAGAATTAAATCCTGCCATTTCAGTTAAGTGTTCTAGTGCTGACAAGTCCTGGAAGATGCAGTTGCTATTTTTGCTTCTCACGCTGGCTGTGTGCATTCTCACCTGCTCCCATCTTCTTGGACTTGATGTTTGTTTGGCCTTATGGTAATTCAGGATAATTCTGACAGAAAGCAGGAAGTTTTGTTGAGGTTTTTTTTTTCCTGCCTCTTGGTTTCTTGAGCTGGCCTGCCATGAGGTCAGACAGCTGCTCCTGCTGGTGTAAGGAAATCAGCAGGACCATATGGCTGGGGGGAAGGGAGTGAGAAACCTCCCCTTCAGGGCTGTCTGCTGCTGAATATCCTTAAAGGTGATACCAAGCAGCATCCCTGCAGGACATCCCAGGCAAGCTATCATGCTGACTGAGGGTTTGCAGCAGTCTCACACTTCTAAGAAGACTGCCCTAAACATGGAATTGCAGAAACGGGCTAAAATGAGGTCTTTAATTCTCAGCTGTTCTACTTTATACCCTAGCACATCAGAGACTCACAGACTAGTGGAAGAACACGGGTTAGAAGGGTCAGGCAGTCCCTGGTCCAATCTCCTGTTCAAATCAGGTCGGACCAGGCTGCTCGGGGCTTTAGCCAGTCAGGCCTTGGAAACCTACTGGAATTGAGACTACAATAAACATTTGTGATACACTTCATTCCTGTGAGGAGAAGCACAGTAAAGATTTTAAGTATTAAGGGGTAATTTTATTTGTAAGTAAAGAGAAATATCAAAACTTGTAAAAATCTTGTGTTACATAGGTTTATTATTATATACATAGTGTTTTACTGTATCTGTCATCAGTTCTGGAGAATTTACTCAGCATATTAACAGCAGAGACAGCCAATTGAACAACTGTGGGATTGATTCACTTCATCCAGACATCTCTTTCTGTATCATAAAGGCTGCTGAATATAGGGACTTAAACTTTGTATTGCCAAATGCAGCACAGTTGGTTGCCTGTGCAGATAGGCTGCAACTACACATAGTCCTTGAGTGCCAGCATGGACTAGTTAGGAGCCTGGTTGTTGGGACACTCCCCTCTGGAGTGGGACAGTTGATCTGCAGTTTTTGTCACTCTGAGCCAGCATCGCCAGAAGGAACTGAGATGAAACTCGTGATGAAACTTATAAACTGGTGCACAGAACCCTCCTGAGAGGGGACAGCTGGATTTAACCAGATACTCCTGTGTAAAAGATCTGATGTCTCCGTGTTTGGATTAAATGACAGCTCTTTCTGCTTGACGCTAGTGTAGCAGGCACACTCTGAAGGAATGAAGATGTGATTTGCTGATGTTGAGTGATGTTAAGCTGGTTGTGACAGTGCAGAACTGTCACAGTTCACACTGCAGTTCACACTGCAGTTTGCCTGCTCAGCTCCCTGTAGCTGCCAAAGCACTGGGTTAGACACAGCAGAAGTGAGAATGTAAAGATCCACGTTTCAGATGAATGGGTTGTGCTAAGCACTTCTTACCCTTCAAGCGGTTGAATCTCATAGACACAGAGTTCCTGTGCATTGCTCAACAGGCCCTTTAAGTTGTTACAGAACATGAGGTTCTCATCCCTCCCTGCTTGAGTATGTCATTTGATTTAACCTCAGCTGGTTTCCGGTGCCTGAAATCTGTGACACACTCCCTTTAGTGGGGGTCAAGACACAAGAATCTGCCTGTTTTAATCTAGTTTCAGCATCAAGGCTGTTAAGAAGAACAGTCACAGCCATTATTCAGAATATGCAAGTTTAAAAAAAATCAATGTGAAGACTTAGTCCTTTTTCTCTGTAATCATTCTGAATAGGTGCTTAATTTTACATGTAGCCGGCTGTGTGTGTGTGTGATTATAGCTTTTCTATAATTAGCCACCTTTTAGTGGCTCTTGTAAAAAGTTGTCATTCCAGAGGGATCAGTGGAAGCCAGAGAATTACTTAATTCACTGTTGAGGATGGTGATAGTGTGGTGCTGTCTCTCTAGCCCATCAAGTCTGGGGCATTTCCTCACCTTTCAAGTGGCATGGTGTCAGAAGGAGGGAATCAAGTGCTCATTTAGGGCCCAAAATACAAAGATAAGATACTCATCATTGTAATTATCAGAAACCAGCTCTTTTCTGATGGTGATTAGTCCTAGTGTCCCATCAGAGGAACTAAGTGACTTCCCTCCTCCCCTCTTTGGTCCTTTCTCCAGGTAACCCTAGCCTATTTTGTGGAACTTGCTGTATTTAACCTCTGCTGTCAACCCATATTTGATGCATGAGGTGGCCCCACCAGTATGGTTTCTCCACTGAACACCACAGTAAGTTGCAGTCAGAAAAGCAAAGTTTACTGAGAGCCACTTTGCCATGTACCTGCAGAAGAAGAAGCAAAGAACTTCCACTGTAAATCTGGTGGCAAGGAGATAACTTCATTACCAGACGTCACTAATTGTCAGCTCTGTGACCAGTGATGTATTTAAACACCTAAGATTCAAGGAGCTTCATATCACAGTCATGCATACATGTGTGGGGTACATTGTATGGCAGAGCACAACTTCTGGTCCTCAGGTGCAGCTGGCCAATGCAGCCACCCAGCTGAAGTGGTGCTTAGGGAGAGCCTCACTTCTTGATGCAGAGGAACTGGGCACATGCCACAGGGAGATAGGAAATAAATAGGAGAGCAATGATGGTTGATTGTCTCTGGGCTGCACTGGCACAACAGGATCAGCCTGTGCTCACTTACACTCCATACTGTCCATAGCCCTTGAGACTTTTAATCTTTACTGTGTCCAGATGCTGTCCCACTGTATCCAGGACAAAGATGTGCTGCTTATGCACTTTCAGTACAGTGATTTCCTGGTGCAGCTCAGCTTCCCATACCCTTTCAGCCTTCTTTGCCTTGTCCTTTTCCACAGTGATGTCTTCCTATTGTCTAGTTATTACAGGTTTTATGAGCTTTTATGTGCACCCTTAAGTGGTGGCTTTTTGGACTAGAGGATCCCTGCGTTAGGCACTGAAGAAAGCAAGGTGAAACCCTCCTGCTCTCAGGTCAGTTACTTACAATCCCACGGTCTCCCAGCTTCTGTATGCTGTTGATCACTGAAATTCTCCAAGCCTTTTTTTTCTAGGCACCATAGGGTAAGACTGATAGCCTTATAATGGGGGCATATCCCATCTCACAGGTGGTTCCTCCCATCTCCAGCAGGCTATTGCAGCAGTAAGCTGCAGCATGAGATGGAATACCCACATCTCTCCTGCCTGTTTCTCTTCTTTGCTGCTGCTTTTTATCTAGGAATATAGTTTATTTGATAAGTAACCTCTTCTAGTCAGCTGTTTGTGGCCTTAGAAAAATAGACACTTTTTTCTGGCATGAATTTGCTTGGAAAGTGCATTTTTGCAAACTTATATGTGACCAGGTCTGTCTTGAGAAAATCCCATTTCTCAGTTGGCCAGCAGAGAGAGCAGTCAGTATTCAGTGGATATGCAGGTTGGGACACAGACAGAGGTTGTCCCCTGCACGCTCAGCCCTGCCAGTAGCTCTTACAGTTAAAAATGAGTCATTCTGACAGCATTGCAGAGGGGATTTGTATCTTGCAACGTTGTAGCTGAAGACTGAGGTATTGGCCTCGACTGCCTGAGCCTGTAATGTCAGTGCAAGCCCTGCCTGCACAGCAGGGGCCTTATGGCAGCATCGTCACTCCCCGTGCCAGTCTGGGGGCTCTGGTCAGCAGTCACAGTCCCTACCAAAATGGGGTTGTGACACCTTAGGATGTCAGACCAATTGGTTTGCTATCAGTTTATATTTAGATACCTGGGGATGTTGCAATATGATCTGGGCTATTCAGGAAGCAAAGGGGCAATGGGCTGCATTTTTATGAGTCAAATTCCAGGATGAGAGCCTTGGTCAGGACATTTTGACATTTGTGGCCTCCTCTCCTCATAGTCTCATTGTCCAACCAGAGCTTCATGCATGCTCTGAAACACCATTCCTGTCCAAGTTTCTGCTTAAGAATGTTAGAATGAGTTTGGTCCAATTTTTCTAGTTTTTCACATTTTTTTCCCCTACCTTTTTAGGAAACAAGGGTCATAGACTAAATTACTTGAGAAAACTGTACCAGGGAGTAAGAATGAGGTGTGAAAACACCACCATGTCTGTACAGTAGTCACAGTTACCTTACCACTGGGTGTCTTGCAGAGCCATTACCGAAACACTGTCCCTGACCCAGATGGTGGCTGTCCCCCACACCTGGCATGAGCCACCCTGCTGGAGGGGAGGACCTGCAGAGCATCACTTCATGTGTCACCCAGCAGAGCAGATGGCTCCAAGTTTGGTGGGGTTGCCCTCCTATGACACTTTGTATTCACAGGCTTGGAGAATCTCATCTCTTTAGGGAAATCCTGTCTGCATGTCTGTCTCTCTTCAGACATTTACCTTCTCAGAAATTTGGGGGATCGAGAATGCTGGTGATTTTCTTCTGCCTTCTGGCTTCCTCCTTATGCAGGACATGGCCCAGTTGAGCCAAGGTTAATGAAGCACACCAGAGGACAGGGTGTCTGGAGACATCTGCCCAGGTTTGTGCGCACTTCCCTTTAGAGCTCACCTCGTTTCGTTTGTG